GTATTAAAATTTGATTTTCAGTTCTGTTTTCTGTGTAAAAAAAAAAGTAAAAACATGCAAAAATTACGACATTCACATTGGTGTTACAACGTACACTTTGTAGTGCGAAAAAAAAATAAAAAAAGAGGTATCTACAACGAACCTTTCTTACCAGATTGCATCAATATGTTTTTTAATACGTGTTACACAATTCATAAAATACCTACCCTGACAAAAGGGGCTTCAAATTTTACTCGTTTTGTATAACTCTCCAAGTGTCGATTCTTTCGTCATTTTGTCAAAATAGAAAATATTGGTGGAAAAAAAAATAAGCACAACACAAAATTATTCGAAAGCTATCGGTGTTTTATTTTTTAAACTCAATGTAAATTGTTGAATTATAAAAATTGGTCTAAAGTTATTTAGACAGCACTTTCCTCGCTCTTGAAGTCCGGTATAACATATTCAGTTTTGTCAGATAATTGTAAAATTCGATTTAGAGATTTTTTTGCTGATAACGCAATAAAGAGATCCATCTGGCGAATAACTAATTTTATGTTTTCTCGACGTTTCTCCATTTTAACTATAACACAATTTTTGGTTTCTTTATTTCCTTTATTTTTTTGTTGTTTCTTTCGATTTACAATTCTTTATTTATTCAATTTTTCAAATTTTCAGGCTTTCATTTTTCAATTCCATGATTTTTCACGTTTAAAATTTTTCAATTTCCAATTTTTCAGTTACATATTTCTTTTTTTTTATTTTTCACTTTTTCGAATTTTAAGTTTTTCAATTTTTAATCTTTCGGTTTTTCAAATTTTCGTTTCTTCAAATTTTCATGTTTGATTTTCACTGTTGACATTTTTCAAGTTTTTATAATAAACTTTTTGTTTTTTTATTTTTGATTTTTCAATTTTACAGTTTCTTGACTTCTAAATTTTTCAATTTTTCGATTTGCAATCTTTTAATTTTGCAATTTTTCAATATTACAGATTTTCATTTTTCGATTTTTCAGTTTCTCAATTTTTCATTTTTCTCTTTTCCAATTTTTTTGTTTCCGATTTTTATTTTTCATTTTCTCGATTTTTTAATTTTCAGACTTTGAATTTTCAATTTTTCTTAGTTTTAATTTTTCACTTTTTCGATTCTTAAGATTTTTCAATTTTATTTAGTAATTTTTCGTTTTTTATTTTTGATTTTTCAATTTTACAATTACTCTACTTATAAAATTTTCAATTTTTCGTTCCGCCAATTTTTCGGTTTGCATCAGTTTTTCAATTTGGCAATTTTTCAATATTACAGATTTTCATTTTTCGATTTTTCAGTTTCTCAATTTTTCATTTTTCCCTTTTCCAATTTTTTTGTTTCCGATTTTTATTTTTCATTTTCTCGATTTTTTAATTTTCAGACTTTGAATTTTCAATTTTTCTTAGTTTTAATTTTTCACTTTTTCGATTCTTAAGATTTTTCAATTTTATTTTGTAATTTTTCGTTTTTTATTTTTGATTTTTCAATTTTACAATTACTCTACTTATAAATAAAATTTTCAATTTTTCGTTCCGCCAATTTTTCGGTTTGCATCAGTTTTTCAATTTGGCAATTTTTCAATATTACAGATTTTCATTTTTCGATTTTTCAGTTTTTCAATTTTTTATTTTTCCCTTTTTTTGTTTCCGATTTTTATTTTTTATTTTCCCGATTTTTTAATTTTCACTTTTTCGATTTTATATCACAATTTTCCTTTTTTGTTTCTTTCGATTTCACAATTTTTCCTTTATTAAATTTTTCAAATTTTCAGGTTTTTAGCAATTTTTCTTCAAATTTTCAAGTTTTATATTGTACATTATTTCGTTTTTTTATTTTTGATTTTTCAATTTTACAATTTGTGGACTTCCAAATTTTCCAATTTTTCAATAATATTACAATTTCTCATTTTTCCATTTTTCACATTCTCGATTTTTAATTGTGCCCTTTTTCAATTTTTCATCCCCTCAATTTTTTAACTCCCCGATTTTTATTTTGCATTTTCCTGATTTTTTATTTTTCATTTTCTCGATTTTATATCACAATTTTTTGTTTTTTCATTTCCTTAATTTTTGTTGTTTCTTTCGATTTTCCAATTTTTCGTTTATTCAATTTTTCAAATTTTCAGACCAATCTATTCCAATTCGTCGATTTTCCAATTTTTAAATTTTTCAGATTGCAGTTTTTGGGTTTCCACCCCTTTTTTATTTTTTGGATTTTCAATTTTTCGTTAAATTTTTTTTTATTTCTCGATTTATCGAATTCAGATGTTTAGATGTTTTGATTACTGAATTTCTCAAATTATCAATTTCTCAATTTTTTCTATTTCTTGATGGTTCAATTTTTGGATTTCTCGGCTTTTCGTTTTTCCAATTTTTCGATGTTTCGATTTTTCAGTTATCCGATTTTTCAATTTTTTTAAATTCTGTAGTTTCGGTTTGTCGATTTTTCAGTTTTTCGACTTTAAAGTTTTTAGATTTTCGAATTTTTCTTTTTTGATTCTTTGATGTTTGGATTTCTCCATTTTTCAATTTTGTGATATTTCAATTGTTCAATGTTTTAAATTTTAGATTTTTCGATTTCTGGATTCTTTGATTTTTCAGTTCATCCGTACTTTAATTTTACAATTTTTCAAATTTTGACGTTGCTAAATTTTCAGTTTTCCGATTTTTCGATTAATATATATATTTTTTTTATTTTACCGTTTCTCGAATTCGCAGTTTCGATTTTTCAGTTCTTCAATTCTTCAGTTTTTCGTTTTTTAAACTTTAAATTTTTAAAATTTTGACTGTTTTATATATATTTCGATTTGTGAATTTTTCGATGTTTCGATTTTTCGATTTATCGGTTTTTTCGTTTTTTTACTTTTCGTCTTTTCGATTTTTGAATTTTCAGATTTTTCAATTTTTCAGTTTTTTAAATTTTCAAGTTTCGACGTTTCTGAATTTTCAGTTTTCCGATTTCTCAATTAATCTATTTTTTGGTTTTCCCATTTTCGACTTGCGAAGGTTTCGATTTTTCAGTTTTTCAGCTCCTCAATTTTTCGATTTTTCAGGCTCCAGGTTTTTCAATTTTTCGATTCTTTAGGTTTGCAATTTTTCGGCTTTTCGAATTTTTTAATTTCCCAATTTTTGATATTTCGTTCAATTTTGTGAGTTTTCTCAGTTTTTCGATTCTTCAATTTTTCAATTTTAGTATTTCGACTTTTGGATTTTTCACGTTCTGGATTTTCAATTTTTAGTTTTTTGAACTTTCGGTTTTCACAATCTTTCAACTTTTCGATATTTTAAGTTTTCTATTTTTAAAATTTTAAGTTTTTCGATTTCTCGAGTTTTCAGTTTTTCTATATTTGACTTTTTCTATTTTCGAAATTTAAAGTTAATTATAAGTTACTTTTTTAAAAGACATTAGAAGAACACGAACAAAAACAGAGTAAGATACGGTACTAATAAAAATACAGGGTGAGTGAGAATTTAAAAATTTGGCGATTGAAATTCCATTTATCATGATATTGTTTTTGCCTCAAATTTACGTCTCATTATCTTTCCACACAATTATCAATTCGTAATAATAAACACTAATTAAAGAATGGAACATTAACTGATATACAAAAATTTCCTCCAAAAAAATAATTACGTGATCAAATTCTCGGTAAACAAATCTGTGTTGAAAAGTGTACACACACAAGATCTTTATTTATGATGATTTTAATTAATATTCATACTTTTTAAATTTTCCAATTCTACGAACACACATTTCATCAGCACGACAAACCAAAGAAAAACACACATGAATTGTAAAAGTTTAATAACGCATAGAAAAAATACTGGAATGAACAAGATGTCTGACATTAAAGTATACTAATAAAAAATTTTACTTATTATCACAGATGTTAATTTTCATCAAACGCAAAAGCTTGGTATCCTTTGGTAGTTTTCTTAATAATTACTCCGACTTTCTGAGCTTTAGACCCAACTGAACTATCGTTCTGGTGACTAGCTGAACCAAAAATTCGAAAAAGTTAAAAAATATTTTGAACTACACATTTTCAAACTTACCATCTGTAGCACCCATGGAAGAACTACTTTTTCTGAAATCAGAGGCATGCTCTAGAGTGATGTTTATTATTGCTAGATCTGTTTCTAGAGCGCTATAAAAGAAATTAATAGCGATTTGTCGTAAGCATCCTAGGTCCGACCGGGTTTCAACTTCTTTATTGTAGCATTTTGATACTTCCAAAAGAGCTACTGCTTTGTCAAGTTTATTTCTGGACATAGTTAAAGCAGCTCTGGCTTGGTACTTTTTTAAACCGGGGAACCTGTTTATTAAAGCTTCTATATTCTCATTTCTTTTCAGCATTGAAACATGGTTAATAACCTGAAATACCACCACAAGTGTAACTACAAACAATTGCTACTTTCATATGACAAAAATGTAAAATGCAGTGTCGCCGCCACTGGTAACTACAGTCCTACGCATATAACTACACAGTAATAATTTTTTACTGTTACTTAAAATTGATAGTTTTATTATAAAATTGTACATAAACTACTTAAAAAGCGTACTTACCTTTGGAGTCTTTGATTTGGTTTTCAACCCAAACGAAACAGTACCACCTTTCTCGTAGTTTTGATTCTGAATGGTCCATGGTAGAGCCAATAACGGGTTTAGGAACGAAGTCTCTAGATAAGAGTCCATTTCTGCTTAGCACTAATTATTTTGTTTATTAGTCCCAGACACTACAAAACTTTTCTTTATACTTCCGCCAGACCTACCCGGTGCGAAATACAGACAAAACTCCACTCATCTCCAGATTTCTTCCAACATTGTTGCCTAGTTGTCTCGAAGGGTAGGGTAGGGGTAAGAAAATGTCGTTTTATATTTGAAATTTAAACGTGATAGTGATAGTGATTTTAAAACATAACATAAGGTTAAGACTTCAGTATATGTAAATTAATTTATTTTTTGAACCATGAAAAATTACATACAATTGAATATCACTGAGTAACTTTTAACGTATCTTCGGATTTCTTAACGGTTGTTAAGTCCTCGGGTTTTTCTACGAACGAAGTAATCACGAGGGACTCGTTTGAAGCGCCTTGATGCAAGCTGACTCCGAAAGTCGAATCTAAAAAATGTCTGCATGAGTTGTGTTTGAAATGAAAAAAAAAAAAAATAAAACTTATGAGTAATAATAAACGTGGCGACCAACTAGAGCAGAAAATTAAAAAATCACCCGTTTCCAAACAAGGACAGTTCTGAGCAAATAATAGAATTTTAATTTTGGTTGCAGATGTGACCATCAAATATGGTAATTAAAAACGATTAAGGCTAACTAATTTTTGTTTATATTATATATTTCAATTTTTCAGCATATTTTAGCAAAGACTACATATCTGAAACTAATTTTCATATGTTCGGCCTATTATTTACATAAACATAGTTTCTTTTGACAAAAAGACGGAAGTCCTCAGAAAAATATATTTACATGTTGAAGGATTAGGTAAACTGTGTCCATTTTATTTACAAACTGTTAGTTTTTCAAGTTTTCTGCTTCGAACCAAAAGTTTCAACGTGATGTGGAGTTCACGTGAAAAATATTATTATCGTAATATAAATATTGGACTGAAGTTCGTTTAACCACACTAAACAAACGAAATATTGAACAAAAATGTTTGTAAAGTAATTGTGATAAACATCAAGGCGGATTCATAAACCACAAGTCCTGAAGTAAATTGAGTTTACGCCATTTCGTTTAAATTTTATAAAATAACGTGCTTCTTCACTTGTGGTTTATGAAACTGTGTTGAGTTTTTTCCCTAGGCATTCAGTTTCGAGAAAAAAAATTGTATAATATTTAACAATTTAACTTTGAAATTATAAAATCGATCGCTTTGAAATCTTACAAATGTTTTAAGGTTATCGGAAGCATGGGACACCGTTAACCAGAATTTATCCGTAAGATAGGCAGTCCTGCACTTTCGAATCCGTGTTGAATTTGTTTGTTCTAGAAATCGAGATTTTTGGAAAAACGTCAAAATTGTATCATAATTTTTCGATATTTCAATTTTAGGATTGTTGAGTTTTTTATTCAATTTCTCCATTTTTCAATTTTTCATTTTCTCGTTTTTCAATTTTTCGATTTTCCAAATTTTCGATTTCTCGATTTTGCAATATATCAGTTTTACGATTTTTTTTTGATTCATTAATTTTTCAATTCTTCAATTTGTCCAATCTTTAATTTTTCGATTTTTAAATTTTACTGTTTTTCAAATTTTCAATTTTTGACGATTCTAAGATTTCGATTTGTTAATTTTTCGAATTTTCGATTAATCGATTTTTCGATTAATCGATTTTTCGATTTTTGACTTCTAGATTTTTTGATTGTCTGATATCACGATTTCTCGACTTTCCAATAGTTCAGTTTCGCGATTTTTCGATTTTTCAGTTATTCAGTTTTTCGATTTTTCAGGTTTTTGATTTTTCAATTTTTTGATTTTTTAAATTTTGCGATTTTTGGGTTTGTCGTTTTTTCCATTTCTCGATTAATCGATTTTTCGACTTTTCCATTTTTCGATTTTTTGAGTTCCCCTTTCACAAGTTCTCAACTTTTCCATGTTTCGATTTCTCGATTTTTCAAATTTTCGATTCTCAATTTGTCGATGTATTTTCAGTTTTGGGATATTCCAATTTTTCCATTTTTTGATTTATCGATGTATAAACGACATTATTTTCGGTTTTGGTATTTTTCAATATTTGAATTGTTCAATTTTTTGACTTTCAAATTTTTTGATTTTCTCATATCTCGATTTCTCGACTATCCAATGTTTCAGTTTCTCGATTTTTTGATTTTTCAGTAATTCAATTCTTCAATTTTTCGGTTTTTCGATTTTCTATTTTTCGATTAATTGAATTTTCGACTTTTCGATTCTTCGATTTTTAGACTTTTCCATTTTTTGATTTTTTGGTTTTCCCTTTCACGATTTCTGGACTTGTTAGTTTTTCGATCCCTCGATTTTTGGATTTTTCAGTTTTTTAAATTCTTCTATTTTTCGATTTCCCGATTTTTCAATGTTTTGATTCCTCAATTTTTTTATCTTTTTTCAGTTTTGGGATTTTTTAATCTTTTGATTTATCGATTTATACATTTTTTGATATTTCAATTTTGGTATTTCTTGAATTCTCGACTTTTCGATTTTTCAATTTCTCAATTCTTCAATTTTTCAATAATTTGGGATTTTTCAATTCTTCAATTTCTTTTTTTTTTAATTTGCAATTTCTCATTTTTTTCTGTTTTCCGCCGTCTTGACTTTATGGTATTTCAGTTTTGCGATTTTTTCTTTTGATACTTCAATTTACGATTTTCAAATTTTTCCTTTTTTGGCGTTTCTAAGTTTTCAATTTGTCGATTTCTGGATTAGCGATTTATTGATTTTTCGGCTTTCGAATTCTCGGTTTTTAGACTTTTCGATTATTAAGATATTTGTTATAGTTTTTAGGGTTTTGATTTTTTTTTGATTTTTAAAACTTTCGATTTTTCGATATTTCAACTTGTCGATATTTCGACTTTCCGTTTTCTCGACTTTTCAAATCCTCAATTTTTCGATGTTTCAGTTTTGGGATTTTTACATTTTTCGATTTCAGTTTATCAATTTTTTAATATTTCAGTTTTGGGATTTTTCAATTTTTCCATTTTTTGATTTATCGATTTCTAAATTTTTTGATGTTTCAACTTTGGTATTTTTCAATATTTCGATTCTTTAATTTTTCGAGTTATCAATTTTGATGTCCCTATTTTTTGAATTCTCGACTTTTCCATATTTCGATTTTTCGATTGCTCAGTTTCTCAATTCTTCAATTTTTCGATATTTTGGGATCTCAATTCTTCAATTTCATTTTCTTACATTTGCAAATTCTCATTTTTTTTCGCTTTCTCGACTTTGCGATATTTCAGTTTTACGATTTTTTTGATTCTTCAAATTTTCGATTTTTAAATTTTTCCATTTTTCAAATTTTCAATTTTTGGCGTTTCTAACTTTTCAATTTATCGATTTCTAGATTAATAGATTTTTCAATTTATTGGCTATTTGGTTTCTCGATTTTTCTACTTGCTGTTCTTCAATTTCTCGACTTTTTAGGTTTTTGATTTTTAAATTTTCGATTTTTCGATATTTCAACTTATCGACATCTCGACTTTCCGTTTTCTCGATTTTTCAATTTCTCAATTTTTCGATGTTTCTGTTTTGCGATTTTTCATTTTCCGATTTCTCACTTTATCAATTTTTTGATATTTCATATTTTTGGAATTTTTCAATATTTCGATGCTTGAATTTTCGATTTTTCGGTTTCTTGATTCTTTAGTTTTTCGATATTTTAATTTTTAGGTTTTTTAAATTTTAGACTTTTCGAGTTCTTAATTTTTTTGTTCTTTGATTTCTCAATTTTTCGAATTTTTAAATTTTCGATTTTCGATTTTTCGATTTCTCGATTTTTCAACTTTTCGATTTCTCAATTTTTCGATCCTTTTTCAGTTTTGACATTTTTGAATTTTTTTCATTTTTTGATTTATCGATTTATAAATTTTTGATATTTCAATTTTGGTATTTTTATTTTTCAATATTTCAATTCTTCAATTTTTCGGCTTTTCCATTTTTTAATTTTCCTATTTCTTGAATTCTCGCCTTTTCGATACATATATCGATTTTGCGATATATCAGTTTTACGATTTTTTTTGATTCTTTAATTTTTCACTCTTCAATTTTTCCATTTTTCCAATTTTCAATTTTTGGCGTCTTTAAGTTTTCAATTTGTCGATTTTTTCTATTTCTCGATTTCTCGATTTATCGATTGATCGATGTTTCGTTTTTTTTAGCTTTTCGATTTCTCGATTTTTCGACTGTTTGATCCATTAACTTTTTGATTTTCCTATTTCTGGATGTCGTGATTTTTTGATGATTCGATTTCTCTATTTTTGAAATTTTCAGTTATTCAATTCTTCAATTTCTCGACTTTTTAGGTTTTTGATTTTTAAATTTTCGATTTTTCGATATTTCAATTTATGGACATTTCGACTTTTCGTTTTCTCGATTTTTCAATTTCTCAATTTTTCGATGTTTCTGTTTTGCGATTTTTCATTTTGCGATTTCTCACTTTATCAATTTTTTGATATTTCATATTTTTGGAATTTTTCAATATTTCGATGCTTGAATTTTCGATTTTTCGGTTTTTTGATTCTTTAGTTTTTCGATATTTTAATTTTTGGGTTTTTTAAATTTTAGATTTTTCGAGTTCTTAATTTTTTTGTTCTTCGATTTCTCAATTTTTCGAATTTTTAAATTTTCGACTTTCGATTTTTCGGTTTCTCGATTTTTCAACTTTTCGATTTCTCAATTTTTCGATCTTTTTTCAGTTTTGAGATTTTTCATTTTTTTTCATTTTTTGATTTATGGATTTATAAATTTTTTGATATTTCAATTTTGGTATTTTTATTTTTCAATATTTCGATTCTTCAATTTTTCGGTTTTTCGATTTTTTAATTTTCCTATTTCTTGAATTCTCGCCTTTTCGATACATATTTCGATTTTGCGATATATCAGTTTTACGATTTTTTTTGATTCTTTAATTTTTCAACTCTTCAATTTTTCCATTTTTCAAATTTTCAATTTTTGGCGTCTCTAAGTTTTCAATTTGTCGATTTTTTCTATTTCTCGATTTCTCGATTTCTCGATTGATCGATGTTTCGTTTTTTTGGCTTTTCGATTTCTCGATTTTTCGACTGTTTGATCCTTTAACTTTTTGATTTTCCTATTTCTGGATTTCTTGACTTTTCGATGATTCGATTTCTCTATTTTCAAATTTTCAGATATTCAATTCTTCAATTTTTCGATTTTTTACTTTTTGATTTTTTTTTTGATTTTTAAAAAATTTGATTTTCATATTTCAAGTGTTCGATTTTTCGACCTTTCAATTTTTCGATTTTTCAATTTTTAGGTTTTTCCATTTTTTCGTGTTTAAACTTTTTCAGTTTTTCCGTGCTTCAATTTTGGCATTTTTCTATTTTTCGATTTTTCTATTTTTCTATCTTTCGATCTCACATCTAATGGATTTTTCGACTTTTCTTTTCTTTGATTTTTCGACTACGTTTTCTGGATTTGTCAATTTCCCAATTTTTCGATGTTTCAGCTGTGGGATTTTTACACTTTTCGATTTTTCGATTTTCAGTTTTTTGATTTTTCGATTTTTCGGTTTATCGTTTTATCAGTTTTTCGATTCTTCAATTTTTCGATTACTCGATTTTTAATTTCTTCGATTTTTCTACTTTTTAATTTTTCTAATTTTGAAATTTTCGGCTTTCGATTTTTCGATTCACCAGTTGTTCGATATTTTAATTTTTAGATATTTTAGATTTTAGATTTTTCGAAAAGCATCTTGCCCCGTTGCCGCGTCTCCTTAAAATTTGCGCCACTGATTTTTACTTTATTGATGTTAACAGAAAACAAAAGTCGCAAACAATTTTTTTTATTTTTCAATGAATCGGGATAAGGAGGGCACTTCAGAGGCGAGGGAAGTTCTGTCGAAATAGCTTTCGAGCATTTTTTTTTAATCTTTAATGTAATCTAAAATGTTTGGAGCTTAGTAACCAATCCTTGATTATTGTAATTTTAAGCAAATTTATATAACCAAATTTTAACACGACTAACCTCAAACTGCAAATTTCAAAATTAAAGAAAAAAATTATAATTATCGTTCAGTAAAAAATGCATAACCACGGAATTAGTATAAACGTAAATTTTTCTGTGGCTATTTCTGTCTTTGGCAATATTTTTTCGCATATCACCATTACGCATACGTCATAAATAACAATTAAATTAACTCTGGTTTAGTATACCTTCACGTTTCTTCTCTGCATTGCTGACACTCGACGACGCTTTATTCACAAAATTCGTTTGTTTAGGAAATTCGCTTTTGTTATTTGCCCTCATTCCTACAGTGTCATTCCCGGCATAACTCCTACTTCCGCGTTGACTCTTCTGAAGTATATTCTTCTTATAACACAACAGCTTACACCTCTTCGCATACAACATCTTATCCACAGCGCAAAAGAAATCGTTTTTGCATAACACTAAAACCGTGTGCAGTGTGGCAGGGTGGGTGTCAGGAAAAAGTTGCATTAACCGAAGAAAATAGAAGAATTGGCTAGACGACTGCTGAATCGAGGGCAACGGTTTATCCTGCGATCGCGGCATTCCAAGAGGCATCTGTCTGTTGATCTGAAAATAATGGATGCAGTTGGAAGTTAATTTTAAAACAAGTAGTTTCACCCAAGGATTATTTAAAAAACGATTCGCTAACGACGGATCACTCGGGTTTGAAGATCTATTTTTACTCCAGAGCGATGAGTGATAAGGCTGGGAGGTAATCCAAGGGCACAATATTGGTTGCATCCGAAATATTTTCTGGGTTTTTTGATCTTGCATCACAACGCGGCTTTAAAACGTACGGGTCAGCGCGAGGGGGCGGCTTGGGGGCCGAGGGGCAACAATTTTTATGGGTAAACAATATTTTGTTTTTTCTCTGTTGTTAGTTATTGTTGATTTTTAAATATTTTGACGTTTATTTTACAAAGAAACTGTGATTATTAGATGTTTCAAATGTAAAAATGAGCTAATTGAGGTAGCCATAGATACGGGTTGGGAATTGGTCGAGTGGGTGCCAGGAGATATTTAAAGTAATTTTTGGGAAAGTTTCACGGTTATTGTCATTTCTGAGAAATACTCCTGTTAGCATTTTTTTCAGGTGGAGATTTGTCAATGGGATTTCCACTAACTTCTGCTATTTAAAATGCGTCCAAACACCGAAATCCAGTGTACACATTTACTTAGTTTTCAACTTTAAATAGAGTGTTAAGGGTAGAATTCTGCTTCAGAGGCGAGAAAAGTTCCGTTTGACTAATTGTCGCCTTTTTTTAGTCGTCTCTTTTTTTTGACACTTTTTAGTGTTTTTCAGCTACTTTTTTGTTAACCTTCTCTGCCGTCTCTTTCTTTTGTAGCTTTTTTCTTTTTTTTTCAATGTTACTTAAGTCGCTTTTTTGCCTTTTTGTCGTCTCTTTTTTCACCCAGCGTTTTTTTTGTGTTTTTTTTTTAAATTTATACAATTCTTTTTTCGCTTTTTATTGCAATTTTTTGTCCTCCTTTTATGTCATTTTTTTGTTCTATTCTCTTTTTGACTGATTTTTTAGTCAACTTTTCCATCGTTTCTTTTTTTTTGTCGCTTTTTTGTAGATATTTAGTGTTTTTATGTCCCTATTTTGCGATATTTTTTCTTTGTGCCCTTTTTTTAATGCCAATTCTTTTATCGCTTTTTTTTCGCATTTTTTTGTTCAATTTTTTTGTCGTAATTTTTCCACATTTTTTTCTTTTCTTTTTTTGTTACCACATTTTTGTCTTTTGTTGAGTAATTTTTTATCACGGTTTTATTGTCTTTTTTATTGTTCTTTTTTTCTCGTCGTGTTTTGTAACATTTTCAAAAATTCTTATTGTCGCCCTCTTTTGCCATCTCTTTCTCTTATGGCTTTTTCGTGCTTTTGATATTTTTAAGTCGTTTTTTTATCGTCTTTTTGCCGCAGTCTTTTTTTTGGCTTCTTTCGCATTATTGGTTAATTCGTTTTTTGTCGCAATTCTTTGTCCACATTTTATGTCGTTTTTTGACGAGTTCTTTGTCACCGTTCTTCGTTCCTTTTTTCCTGTCTTATTTTGATAATTTTTTCTCTAGCCTTTTTATTAGTTCTCGCTTCTTGTCTTTTTTCACTTTTTTTTAGTGCTTTCTCCCCCCTTTTTGGTAGCTTTTTTGTTGTTTTTTTGTCACCTTTTTTATCGCCCCTTTTTAATTTTTTTTTGTAATTTTCATATTTTTTGTCGAGTTATTTTTATAATTTTTTTGGGCCCGTTTTCTGTGTCTTTTCCCTCTTTTTTTTTTGGCACGTTTTTATCATCTTTTTGTCTTTGTTTTTTTGTTGCCACTTTTTCGTCTGTTTTTGTATAATTTTTTTTAGTCTCGGTTTTATTGCATTTTTTTTGTTCCTTTTTTTCTCATCGTCTTTTGTAGCTTTTTTGGGAGTTCTTTTTGTCGTCTTTTTTGTAATCTCTTTTTTGTCACTTTTTAGTGTTTTTTAGTTACTTTATAATAGTTTTTTTGTGTCCTATCATCTTTTTTTGTAGTTTTTTATAGCCTAATTTTTACCGTCTCTTTTCAAGTATGTAGCTCGTTTTTAGTGTTTTAAAATTGCGTTTTTCGTCACCCTTTCTTCCGGCACCTTTGTTGATTTTTTGTCGTCTTTTCTTTTTCATGTCGTCTTTTTTTGTGGCTTTTTTGTTGTTTCCTTTTTAACCGTTTTTTCTCGCGTTTTTTCCGTTGTCCGTTTTTAAGACGATTTTTTGGTGGGGATAAACATATTAACTTTGATATGCGCAATCTAACACTAGTTATACCAGCATCATTGTAAAATGGTAATAAATATCTTGCCCAGAATTTACATGTTATTTGAATCTGTCAACTAAAAATTGTGAAATTTTGTTATTGCCTTCTTTTTATAAATAAAGCTGAAAATACTAGAACGTTTACTAGAACAAAAACAAACTTTGCTCGACCTTTAAAACCAAAATAAAATTTACTTCTCATTTTATATTCATAAATGTGTCATGATCTGACTTCATAATTAGCCACAAGATTCAAAAGGAAACTTGAATCGTCTTCCAAAAATTATTAAACCACCAAAAGCTATATTGAAAGAGTTCTTGAACTCTGTTTTCATTTATGAGTACTGGAATTATTAAAAAAATGTTTTGTTTTGTCTTCTCCAGTTTAGTAGACAACGGTTTTAGCACAACTGGTGTAAACACATAATTAAACTCTCAGCAGCGGAAGCGGTAAAACTTTAGGGGCCGGTGATTTCTTATTTCCAAGAAATGTTCCAGACACCTTTACCGCTTGACGCTAATAGTACACTACTTTACGTTTTATAACACTCCCGAATAAAGCAAAAACAACCGGGATTTCGATTCCAGTTAAAAGGCACTCAAGTTACTCGTATGTTAATTATCTGTTATTCTAAAGTTGAATTCATACATTTTCATTAACAATAATGATTGTACGATTCGAGGAGGCATCTTGTGATGGCCACAACGGCCAACTAGTTTGCATATTTTCCTCATCTTTCTTGGCAGAGGCTTTAATTTGACCTGACCTTTTATCTGAACTGACCTTTTTTTTCTTTTCTTTGCGTTTCATGACTCAGCCGGTACTTGTCCTGCTTTCATTTTGGCACAAGCTATTAGCAGCTCGGCCTCCGAAAATGTCGCCCTGCAGCTTTGTTTGTTTTTTCCACTTTTCGTTTCTCCTAGGGAAAAAATTTTGCATAATTTCCGATACTTGCTCTTCGTAGAACTTACGGTCTGTACAGGGAGACATCTAATTTTTTTTCTATCAATGTTAGACCCATCGTCATCATTTTTCACCTTGACTCAGTTCCCACCATTTTTGTTTCTTGGTCTTCCAAATCTGTTGTTTTATCTCCAGATCCAATATTTTGGCTTTAATTACTGTTTTTGGTTATCCATGACCCAATAGTTTTGAGTGTGGGATCCTTTTATTGGTTTATTCTTTTTTTTTGTATTCATTCTTGCTTAGCTGCCAAATATACCGTATCCACTTCTCATTTGTGTGAAATAACAGTTTGTCACTCCTTGTTTGGTTGCTTGCCATCGCTATAGTTACTGTGTCCATCGAACTGCTAGGCGTTTTTTGCTTATGTTGTAGTAGTGAATTTCTTTTAGCTCTTGGGTTGTTAAATCTATGGATCGAAGCCCAGTATTAACAAGGTCCACTTCAGTGCTATTGTTTTACTATGCCACTATCATTCTCACTGCCATAAGCCTGTTTACTTTTTCCAAATCGACCCTGTACTATTAGTAGCGTAGAGCACTTTTACAACATCAACACCCGAAGTTTTTTTGCGATAGATCCTCCGATGTTTGGAGTAAACCTCTGTAGAGTTATGTTTTTTGTTGGTGCTTTGTACATGTTTCCCTCACGTAGGAGGTTATTTTTAGATTTTTGTTCATTTAGGACAGGTCCTAAAACTAACCCTTGGGGCACTGCGTAGGTAATTTAATTTCTTTTCCTTTTAGAAGGTATATTTATCTCTCACTTTAACATTGGGTATTTTGCTTTAAAGCCGAATTAGTTGTCGTTCAGACCTGCTTTCTGTTCGATTCATAATTCAAAAAACTTTGATTATATATTTTTTCTTCATCGGGAGATTACTTTGGTTTTAGGATGAAGAGAAGACGGGCTAAAACAAAAAAAAAAATGCTTTTTTCATAGCGGTCACTTGACAACTTCAGGTAGTATACCATTTAGTCAAGGACCTTTTTTCAGGGAAGGGAAATGTGTTAAGTGCGCCCTACCCAGTACAACTCCTCCATTCTCAATTCTCCAGGTCATCCCGGAACTGCCTTAACAGTAATACTTCAAGATGACGATCGTCCAGTCCTGTCTATTCTTTGTTTCGTTCTTCCCTCTCATTCTCTTTGATAATTGTTCTTATCATTAATCTTTGCCTGTTATGCATTTCTGCATATTTTTTGAATCTACGTATCTCCTTCCCGGCGGATGCAGCATACAAAATCATCGTCCGAATACGCAGTCAACTTGATATTCCTTGGTATCTGGATTCGGAGTACTACATTATAATATAGTTTCACAGGTACCTGACGTGGCCTGAGATCATCTGATCTGATCTTTTTTTTTTCAATGGAAGGGAAAACCCTCATGGACACCAGAGACTTAGGTTCGATCATCTCTGGTAGTGCCTGAGTGCCTGGACTCTTACCGGCTAAAATCCCTTCTTCGAGCAGGTGTTCTCCTACCCCCTCGGAACCGCGTTAGCATTACTTCAAGGGGGTGGTTGGTCGTTTCTTTCTTCTTCTTTGTGACTTCTTCCTCCTTTTTTTTCCCCTTAGTTTGCCTATTTAGTCTGTCTTTCTGTCTTCATTAGTTGTTGCCTATCCTTTTTTTTTGTGCTTGTCTTTATTGCCTGACTCTTTTTTTCCATTCACTCATCTCTCACTTCCTCTACCCTTTCTCTCTCTCTCTCTCTCTTTCATACTCACATTTCGCTTTCATTATTGTAACTAACATCCTTTCAATTGCCGTCCATCCCTCTTCATTCTCTATCATCGTCTCAATCATATTGTCCGCATTCACTCTTTTCCATAATTTCACTTCGCATTCTTCTCTCACTCTCGTCCATCTGTGACAATCAAAAATCGCATGCTCTGCATCTTCTTCCACTCTTCCCTCGCAATACCAGCAAACTGAGCATTCAATCTTGCCTATCCTTTTCAGATAGGCCCCAAAACTCCCGTGGCCAGTGAGCACTTGGGAGGTGTAGTGGTTAACCTCCCCGTGCCCCCTGCCGACCCATTCAGTGAGGTTTGGGATTAGCCGCCTTGTCCAGGCGGCCTTCTCCGTCTGCCTCCACCTTTCGCACCACGCTTGCATCAAAGCCTTTCTCGCCTTCCCCTTACATGTTACTAAGGGAGC